ACCACCACCACCACCACCACCACACTAGTTAATGACTTGGATCCATGTCAATATTCGTTTTAGACGTCCCCACATAATTGATAATCTTGACAGCCTTGATCATCAGTATCACCGCCACCATAGCCGCAGCTAGCACCCTACCTACCATTTCTTGATGGTAACGCCAACACTTCTATTAGCACGGACATGGTGTTTCTAGTCTTTCTGCTCCCGAAAACCATGATGGGCCTAAACTTAAACCCTCAACTCTTAAATCCTAAGCCCCTCAACCCCTAAACTTTATAAACCCTCAACCCAAGGTATCGATGCAGCCTTGAGACCTTTTAAGGCGCACCTGGCTGCCAAGATCCGCGGGTTTATCGGAGCACAGGACCCTTTGGCAGGCTGCCAGTAGACGGGCTGAGGGTTCGGGGTTTAGGGTTTTCAAAGGACTCCGAAGGTTGGATGAAGGTAGGTCCGGCAATCTCAAATTAAGAGTCCTCATGCAACGGATCCTTGATCCTACCTACCTTCATCCCACCTTTTGAGGTCCGGCAGGTTTAGGGGTTTGGGGTTTCCTTTCTCTGCTTTTGCTACCACATTGCTGCGGTCGCCCGTCACAAATGACTACAGAGATATTGTATGTGGGTGGGGGGTGGGTCGGTTTGGGTCCCTCCATCCAAGGCTCGCGCTCGTGCGACTGATGCCTTTCCCCTGAATGCACAAGAAGGGCCCATCATTGAGAACTCCGATCCTGCCTGCACAGGTCAGACAATACCAGTGTCGTTTCGAAGTACTACGCTTGCCCGGGGGATGGATGACCGATGGCACGCCGAATTCCACCTCCGTGGCCCCATGAAGTGCGTTTATGAAGCAGTTCAGACAGCTGGGTCGGTGAAAACCAAGTCTGGATTTCGGCAGAAACTCCGATGACCAGAAAGAGTTTCTGGACCAGTTTCTCTTAAGTTCCCGATGTTTGAGAGAGAAGGATCCGCCTCTTGACCGAGGAATGCGAATATTTGCCAGTTGGAGGGCTACTGGCGCCGTGGAGTTCGATCAATCCATATCCGGTGGACCAAGGAGACCCGAAAAAGTAGAGGAATCCGTTGTGCTTCATCATGGGCCTAATTGAGGCCTGCGAGGTGACGTGTTTTGGATCGTGTCGACTTCTAAAATCCAAGCTTAATGTACCCTGAGGCTTAAACCCTGGTCTCGCAGGTATAATCCTTAGAGATCTTTAGTATAATATAATATGTATAATATAATGTCCCCGAAACCCAGTTGTGATTGCCAAGCCCCTTATGCCACCCCTGAACCGTCAAGAAGGAGACGCAGCGCTTCAACGACGCGACCACCCGCCACGCCAATGAAACCACCCGGGACATATGTCAGGACGTTGAGCTGCACTGCTATGACCACAGCTGCTTTGAGTGCGATTTGAGGTTCTTGGCTTCGCAGGGTATATATATATATATAGAGATATTGTATGTATGTACATACACTATAGTATACACCGAGCCCCTATTCTAGTTCTTTTAGCCCCCATCGCGGCGGGCCCTTTTGGGATGGATCCAAGGAGCCCAGAACTCGACAACTGCTTTGAATTTCCTTAGTTCTGAGAACCCGCAAGGTGCTGTAAGCCCTAGTAGTAAATAGGGTTTAAGGTTTAAGGATTCCCAAAGTACCCAAAGCTGAAAACGCCTCAAGTCAAAGACCCAAGATTCAGGTTGTGGTGCGGTCTACCTCCAGGGCCACGCGGAGGCTCATGCGGACGGCCATGCGTCAGGGAAGGGTCGGACGTTTGCCCCTCCAACGTTTTGGCTGGCACCGCAGCTTGACGATGTCCTTGTATCTACTGGTTTCCGTGTGCTGCAGTATCCATGAAAATTCCCTACTCGTTATGAATGCAAGTTAATCTGAGCACCTGTCTCTTTAAGGTTCACTCTAGTGGCGGATCCTTAGTGTAACCATCGGATATAGCAAGGGAAGTTTGCATGTGTTGGAATTTCAGAGATCCTAAACCCTACATTCCTAGATTCTTAAGGTACTTGTAATTGTAAGCCCCGCAGAGCTTGGCATAGCATCATCCGGAAAGCCCTGGTTGAAATGATATGAAATGATGCCTTATAGAAGCCCTCTATAGATCCCTGTAAAGGAACCCTATGCTCACAAACCCTCAGCCCTAAACCCTACTGAGGCAGCCCCCGAGCCATAAATCTGCCCCGAGATTGCTCAGGAAAGGTTTGCGTTGCTCCTGCGGCTGCCCGTGCTGTTGCAACTTAGATAGTCAATGGGAGAACTTTGTTTTTTATGGCCTTGTATATGTGGTCTATTTATTTGGAGCTTAAAGAGTTTGATATTTTTGGGGCTCGGTTATTGAAGAAGAGAGGCAACTGTGTGAGGGAGCCTTTGCCCCCAAGCAGCTGAGCCGTTGCGAAGCGTTTAGGGTTTAGGGCTGGAGATGTACGGCTCACCTCCTCCCTACTCGTAGGCTTTTGAAAGGGCACACTTTAAAGGTGGGTTGGTGCTTCTAGTCGAGTTTCAGTTGTATCCTTAGTTATGCAGTCTCATGATCCCCAGCATTTAAGTTAGGACTGTGTCAGTTGGCATTCAAGGCTTCAAGGGGATGGACATAGATAGCTTTTTCAGGTCCAGGTGGCCTGTGACATTGTGCTTGTCACGGCCTTTTTTGAGTCCTCCAAAGATAGTCGTACCTCCCGCATCATGTTTCGAACCTTGAGTCAGATCATGGGTCAGCAGGTGAAATCGGTTCTGGTGAGGTTTCGGGCTCAGGCCATGGGATGTACCGAAGGCTGGTACGAGTATCTTGACGTCTGGCACGACGGCTCCTCAGTGCGAGCAATGTACAGCTTCCGTGTCGTGGTTTAGTGCATAGGGTCGAAGTCGCGACTTGGCTGTCTGTAGAGCTTTCGAAGAAAGTCTCAACTACAGCATTGGAGACCACCCGTGGCCGAGTTGAAGAAACAGCATCGGGTTGAATCTCTGCTGGCAGTAGCTAGCTAAAACCCTAAACCTTCAACCCCTAAACCCTCAACCCGAAACCCCTAAACCCTAAACAGGTTTTCAAACACTCTGTAACTCTCTGCCCAAGGCCTTCAGCCTTTCACCTTGCAGAAGAGGCTTCCCTGAGCCTAGTGCTCAAGTTCTTGCCGGAGACGGGCACAAGTTTGCTTGCGAGTTCTTTTTGGAGTGGCAGATGTTCATCAAGATTTTAGACACGGCGGCCCCGGGACATGTAGAATGAGACCAGAAGCACTGGCCAGATGTCAAAACCACTTAGGCAGTAAACGCCCAAAGTTCACCAAGAAAAAGCTGACTGTGAAGTCGATTTTGCAGTTCCCAATTGCGGGGGTTCATGTTGCGAGCACGCGCAAACCCCTGGACTCCGAGCCCCTTTCCTCCAAACACTGAAACGGTCCACTAGCGCTCTCTTGACACCCGCACCCGAAACTCCCAATCCCCAGCCCCACGCCTAAACTCCTCAACGCTGAAGCAGTCATCTTCCGTAAGCCACAGAAGCCACAAACCCTAAACCTTGCCCAAAGCCCTGAAGGAAGGTCCAAATCCCAACATGGCCACACTCCATGTCACAATGCCGCTGGGCCGGTTTGTTGTAGGTGCAAGTAGCAACGAAAGCGTGATAACAGAGAGTACGATTGTCACTATGAGTCTTGTCATTACTCCGTTGTCACTACTCCTTGGGTAATGACTGTACTTGTTTGGGATCGTATAACGCTGAGATGAAAGAGAAGAACGCAGATCGCCAGAGGCAGGGAATACTTGTAGCGCCATCATTGCCGTCAGGCAACATGGGCCTTCTTGGCCCCTTGAGCAGTGAAGCCCAGCCAACCATATGGCCTAAAAGCTATGCAACACACTGTGTGAGCATCCTGAGTTTTTGTCAGTGCCACAATGGAAGGTATTGTCCCTGACGTGTGCGAGCTAGCATTTGGAAATCGCAAGGCTGCATCGGGCATAGTCTATGTCAACACAGCAGGAACTGCAATACTTTCACAAGCAAGACCAGCAATGTCGCTGTTCCAGTTGGCGTCAACTTTGTTCAGTTTGCTATTACTCCAAACGATGGTTCCCTACATCCCCTAAGGACTGACAAAGCGACATCCAAGAGAGGATCAAGCATTTCGAGAATGTCCTGCGCCGAAAAACCTGAACTCTAGGCCCTCAACCCCAAGCCGTAAGTCAATATCATCCTTGAGATATCCCAAGCCCAAAGCTCTTAGTCCTAGTCCCTAAGCCTTAAACCTGAAATGTTTACAGGTTTACACTCTAGAACCCAATCCCCCAATCCTAAACCGCATGCTTTTGGGAAACCGTCCGCCGAGGAAGGCGTGCCAGCAAGCGGACAAATGGCGCCGAGTGATGCAATCGCTGTACCAGCTTCATGCGCAAGGCTTGGGCATGGCGGTTGTTGTCTTAGCGAGTTGGGGGTGTAGGGGTTTATGGGTTCAGCGGTCTGGAATTGTGTGGCTAGGGGGTGTAGTTGGGCTTGGAACTGGAGGCGGATCGGGGGCTTATGGCCTCTTGTTACGTAGTGGCTACATGATTTCTGAATCGGGATTCACTCTTGCTCCCTTCCGAGAAGCACAAGTAAGTTGGCCAAAGTTTCGTAGGCAGGGATTCTAAACTGGTTGTCATACTAAAACATTGATCCCCCTAAGAAAAAACTAGGTCCCCAGTATGCCATCATTCCTTGAGGCCATCGTTGGGATCTGATCTCCTTCGGCATTGCTGCTGTAGGCGCCGTGTTCTGGCTGAGTGCAAGAAGATGCTGCAGGGCTTTGCGCGATTTCATTTGAAATTTATGGCATCTTCGGATAAGCAGGCATTTCATATGGTTCTCAAGGTTCTGGATGTGATTGTGGCACTGGCTTTGGGCTTTTCTGGCGGCTCACCTGTTCTTGTAGCTTGGGTCCGGGATGCCTAAGGCCTACGAAAAATGAGAAACCCAGGGATATGAGAATGTCATTCCCATGGAGAACCTCCTAACCCGACCCTAGATTTTGGGTTCCCCCCTTTAGATAATGGAATAGGGATCCCTTGCGCTGAGATGGCTTACGGGCTCTGTACAGAGTTTAAGGGTCTGGAGTCTAGGCCAGGCTTGGGTTAAGGTTTGAGGCTCAGGTGTTTAGAGACGACGCTGCCGGCCCATTGCCCATGGGTTTGTCTTGGCGTTGGTTGTGACCTAAAAAGCTGGGTAAAAAGCTAAGGGCTGACGCCACAGGTGGGCAAGGCAGGCAGCAACTTCGGGCTGAGAAACAGGAACCCAATTAAGCTGATGAGGGCTTGGGTGTTGGGACAGTTTGTACGGGTTCAGGTTTCAGGCTGAACACCGCATTCTCCGGCTGCTGGCCCGCATGCCCCCCTCAGTCTGTAGAGGCTCAGACATATTGGTTCCTGACCTGGAGGATGGCCTGCTCATGAGTCTTCCACAACTTGAGTGAAGCGCTCAGCCCAGAGAGGATATTCTTATGGGTAAGCGCTTGCGCCTACATTCGGCTTGTTTAATCTTGTGCCAAACAGCTGTTGGCCACTGATAAGCAAGGAACTAGATGTGACAACGCGAAACAGGCAGTCCCGAACCTCATGCTCGGAACACATGATCGCTTCAGCTTGCTTTAAATCGAGGATTACCTGAAGGTGTGGGGGGAGTGGGGGGACTGACAACTGGGAGCAGCAGCAAGAATAGCTTGCAACAGGCTCGCAACCTCGATGGTGATGGTGAAGCATGGCACACCCCCCGCAAAGGGCCTGCAGTGCTCAGCTCCGCCCCCAACAGGATCGGCGCATACTGCAACTGTAGCATACTGTACAGACCGGACGACCTCATTCTACGTGGTAGTTTATCTACAGGCTTTGGGGCCGGTACATTCTAGCTAGTTGATGGGTAGCGTTTCTGTGGAGGTAGCCCCAAGCTTCATTGGGAAACAAGCCTTGGAAGCTATGCCCGACGCCTCGCAACCAAGACGCGCCAAATCACAGCCCGAAAGGCCAAGAAACTTGTCAACACAGAGGCTCCTGATTATGCAGAAATTTGCATATCCTTTTCAGTGCAAAGAAGATGGACGCTTTGTCCTTACACGCTATATATTATTGCGGGGAAAATTTTTGAGACAAAGCTTTGGAAGGCTGTGGCAACAAAGGGCACTGGCCAAGCGCAGCAGCCGCCCTTGGCAGCCTTCGGAAGGCTCAGGGTTTGGTGATAAGGGTTGTCGTGCAAAGAACTGAGATACATCGAGGGCTTAGGGTGTAGCAACTCATAGATGTTGGGCGATAGGTTGGTGTATCTGTACTGACTTAGGGCTCAAAGCTTTGGTTTTGGGGACTCACAGGTTTCAATCAGGGTCGCAGTCTAAGGATTTGCAGCACCGGTCCTGAAGTTTACCGGGTTGATGTAGCTGAGGCATGGCTCATGCCTTATCTGCTAGGTTCAGCTTTTGAAAGGTTCCTGCTGCTGCTGGAAGCTATAGCCAGGAGGCTCTGGCATAGTCTTGACATGTAGGCCCTGAACCCTAAACCGCGTGAAAAACAGCATGAAACATCGTACAAACATCAAACTTTAGCTGAAGCGGCAATCTTCAACCCTGATCCCATCATGGGAGTCCCCCCATGTCTTCTCAAAATGGAGTGCTTCTCACTTTGGGGATCTCTAGACGGCAAGAACCCCCCTGTTTTGAGACACCCATATGAGGCATGAACCCAGCTCGTCCCCCACAAGACCTTCAATCTGTTGAATTCGCAAGGCAAGCGTGCGAGCCAACAGCATCATTTGCGGCGGTGTCCTGGGCAC